TATATATATGTATATATATGTATATATATATATATGTATGTATATATATATATATATATATATATATATGTATATATACATATATATATATGTATATATATATATGTATACATATATGTGTGTGTGTGTGTGTGTGTATATATACATATAAATCTATATATATATATGTACATATATAGATATAGATAAAGATATATAGATATATATAGATAGATAGATATTTATATATATACAGCATTTTAAACCCTTCCCACACTTTTGGAATATTCTAGACAATGTTTCTAAACTCTAAACGCTCCAAAAGAGCACAGAATGTCATGATTTCAGCTCCCTGCCTCATCTTCTCATTGCCACCTGCAAGCGTTCTTGACCACGCCCACCTGTCTGCTCTACACAGTGAACAGCTGATCAGCTGCAGCAGGAAGTTTATCCTGCAGTATGGGTTGCACAAAGGTGCAGCAGGTGCTAAATAATTGAAAATAATTTATTTTAAATAAATATGCCATGCCTATCGTGCAGCTCATCCATCAATCAATGTGTCATCTCCATTCTTATTTTGAAAAGCCGCGATAGAGCGAGTCCATGATAAACAAACCACGAAGTAGCGAGGGACTACTGTATTCTCAAGGACACGTTACGTAGTCATGTAAAAACTGAAGGAATAAAACATCAGAGTTTATGCTCCAAGTAAAAATCCAACAATCTTCAGTTAGGTCATCTGGACGGTTTCTTTCTTTGCTGAGATGTTTTGTCTTTCATCCAAAGGACTTCATCAGTCTGAGGAGCCACAAAGGAATAAAAAGTTTGGCATTAGGCCCGTCATTGTTACAGTCATCGATTAAAGCTGGGTGCACTTTTTTGTCCAGTAAAAAAAGACATTACTTATTTAATAATATTTTTGTTTGTTTATTTGACAAAAGAAGATTTAAAATTATTTGTCTTCTTTATTTGCTCTAACCATAAACAGTTATTCACCATCAATTCTTAGCAGAACTAGTTTTCTTGACGCTAAAATACAGTGTTGCAGGCGTCTTTAAGACCTCTTGTGAATGTTCAGCACACAGTTTGAACTGACAGGATTTTAAAGTTTATAATAAGGAAAATTGTAACTTTGCTGTGATTCTTTCCAAAAGTAAGAAAATAAGAGGAACTGGCTCCTAAAGTTCTGACCCCTCACATGTGTTTTTAATGTATCAGAGTTAGTGCATTTGTTTTGGTAAAATAAATGTGCTTCACTTATAAAACTAAAATTCACACTATGTATCAGTTATTACAGAAACTATGTCACATTATTGTAATTGTGACCTCTTTGACTGATCAATGATCATCATTTGATCACTACACTGGCGTCTTATTTGTTGTTTTGTTGACGACACTTTTATTTATTTTTATTCTTAATAGGCATTCTTCATGATGCTGCTTCAACACAGACTTGGCATTCTTAGACTGAGGTTCTGGCTAGACTTCACTTAAACAGCTGGAGCTTTATTTATTTTTAGTTTAAAATCTTTTTCCGCTCATAAAGCTGCAACGTCTTCAATAAATTCACATCTTATTTCTCCTGAAGTGTTTTCATGCGGATTAGTTTGCTGAAGTAAAGGCTTGCTCCCTCTTGTTTTATTTTCTTGCCGTTCCAGTCATTCGGGTACCAACAAAACTTACTGAAAATATTTTACTAAATCATTGCTTGGATAGAGTTCTCTTATAAACTTAATTCATTCATTCAACCTTTATTTATACAGGTTCATCCCACTGAGCCTCGGGGACTCATTTACAAGAGAGACCTGATTTTAACAGAGTGATGACAACAGTGGATAACAAAGACAACAATAGACAATCATAAAGGATACATACAAACTGAGATTTTTTTTATTTTTAATGTTTGGTGTTAAATTGTAATTTCTGAAAGCTTGAGTGAACCTTTATCTCAGCACTGTAACGTGTTTCCCTTAGTGTGGAAAAACACAAATTAACCCAAAACTCCACAACAATCTGCATTTTACAATAACTTTGGTGTGTTTTTTAGCAGTCGTTGTT